GCTTTTACTGAGAGCACAAGCCGTACAAGTTATTTTAGGATCCTTGGAAGACACATTATTTGTGGAATGCAATAGACGAATTATAGTTTTAGGAGCGGCATGTCCTAAACGATGATGCCACAGATTAAATTTATTTGGGTCGGTGCAGGAAGCTGTAAGTATTGAAGGTGGTGACACTAGTTCTGAGGGCTAGACGTTGTATAGTCAGCCATCAAGTTTGCCGTGTAGGAGGGTCTGACCAGTATGGAGAGAAATCACAATGAAATAATTAGGATAAAATAAGAAAACACAGTTATTGTCTTTTGTGAATTGAGAGACAGATAATAAATTTTTAGCAATTGAGGGAACAACTAAAACATTGGGAAGACGATATGGAGAACTAGGAGTGGGTTCGATTGTACCTGTGTGAGTGATGGGAAGGGAAACACCATCATCCATAGTGAGTTGTTGGGGGCCTACATAAGGAAACACATTGGATAGTGCAACAGGATGCTTAGTGACATGGTGAGAAGCACCCAAGTCCATGAACCAATTGTCAGCAGCAAGAGCGGACGGCGGAGGAGGAATTGTTGTAGAAGGAGCTACATGTTGTTGGAAAGAGATATAATAGGCTTGCGGTGGTGAGTTGTAGTGTGTGGGCTGTTGGTTGTGGGCTTGAGTATATGGATTAAATAAATAATGGGCTTGAGGATAGTTTGTGGGTTGGTGATTTTGGGCTTGAGTATTAAGATAATGGGTTTGAGGGTTATTGTATTATAATTGGTTTGGAGGAGGTGGCACAAATTGGGTGTTATATCTTTCTCTGCAGGTGGCGGCTTTGTGACCAGGATGGCGGCACAACTGGCAATGAGGGATTCCACAGCGGCGATTTTGACTACCCGTCGGTGAGAAGGGAGTCGACAGAAGAGTAGGGAAAAGCCCATTCGGCTGGCCATAGAGAGATCCCATTCGCGAGTTTGACTTCCCCTGTGGACGTTGTTGGTGGTGGAATGGTGGTGGAGTCAAAGAGGAGACGAACTGGCTGGGGTAAGTGGCAAAAGCGGCTGGCGATTGCTGTGCAGAATCAAAATGGGAGAGATCCAATTGGCCTTTATGAGATAAGAGCAACCCATGGAGATCATCTCTGGTGAGTTAGGCAGTACGAGTATGGACCGAGATCGACTTGCTAATTGAGAGAACTTGATGCCAAGGCCCAAAAAAGGTGAGTTTGATATTCATTTTCCAAAATCGGTTCACCAATTGCAGACAATTGATCGGAGATGCTGGTGGCTTCTTGTAGGAATTCTGTGACTGATTGATTTCCTTTTTTCATAGACTGTAATTACAGCCGAAGTGAGGCAGCACGAGCTTTTGATTGGGCAACATAGGTCGTCGCAAAATATGTCCAAACCGATGCCGAAGTTGTGTGATTTGTGAGCTGGGTAACAATTTGTGTGGTTGATGTTGCTAGTATCCAGCCAAGGGCTATTTGGTCTCGGACAAGCCAAGAACTATATGCTGGGTTCAAAGTAAGGGGGGAGGCAGAAGAATTGGTGGTGCCGTCACTTGTTTGCTGCTGAAAGAGCTGAGGTGGTGAAGGTTCAGAGCCATCAACAATTGAGAGAAGGTGATTGGCTCGAAGAAAAGGAATAAGTCTGGTTTTCCACACGACATAGTTGGTGCCATCAAGACGTTCTCCGATGGCTAGTAATGAAACGAAATTTGGGCTGGTGGTGGTGGTGGTGGCCATCGGAGTTGGCATTACTGAAGAAGGATTGGTAATGATGGGTGTTTCCATTGATTTTTAGGTGAGCTTTCACTTACTGCTCTGATACCAAGTTTGAACTAAGTATCGATTAAAGGAAAAACTAAAAAGGAAACACAAATTCAGAATGAAAGATGAAGGAAGGAAGAAGAGACAGAGATTAGATTTAGAGAGAAATATGAATGTATTGATAATTTTCCCTTACTTTACATGTTAATTATAAGTGTGTTTATATACACTTTAGAATGTGATCTTGTATAATCAAAGTTGCAGATATTGTGGGATGCAGATTGCAGGTTTGAATTAATCTGCTGAACTGGTCTTTTGATTTTAGGGAGAGAAATCTGCACTTCCGTTTGAGGTAGTTTTGAGCTCAGTTAACAGTATGTAATACTTTTGCAAAACTTTCTGGGTTAGTTTGTCTGTTGACTCAGTTTAATTACAAAACAAACTTGGATGCTTAAGAATTTTTTGAATAAATGATAGTGTTTCTCTAATTATTAGAATAAATTGTTTGTTTTTATTACAAATAGTAAAAATTGAAAAGTAGTATTTAACATAGGGTCCATAGATTCTTTGAATCCCATTGTCACCATTTAGTGTCTGAAATTCAACCCTCACCCCATTCCACTATATTAAAACTTGAGTAATGCTACAGTCACTGGGAGTAGTGTGCCAAATTTGTGCACCGAATGACGTAACGCAATCTTGACCGTCGATTAATATTAAGTTATAATGAATCGACAGTCAGGATTGAGCCATATCATTCGGTGCATAAATTCGATGCATTTCTCCTGATGTCTCTATTATTTTCCTTAAAACTTTTACCTTCACTACACCCTATCATTTTTTTTTTTTTCATTTTCTTCTTTCTTTCTCCTTCTTTTTCCCCTTAAACCCCCTTCCACCCAACCCTACTAGATTCAACCATATGAGCGTCTTTAGGAGTCCAAATCTGACATCTAACAAAGTTGCAAGGCCGGTTCCAACACGATGTTGCTCAATTGACAGTATTGTCAAAGAAATCTAATCTCGCTTCGCTCAACCTTTGACGTTGCAAGGTTGGATCTAGCTTCATGACTCTTTATTGATGATATTACGTGCCAAATTCAGTCTCTAACACATTGCAAGGCCTTTAGTATTTTTTTCATGAAGCCTCCAACGATTCACAAGAGGCCTTTATTGGCTATTGCTACACCTTTTAAGGCCTTTAATGGTGCTAGGAGATCATTAGCAGCATAGTTAGTTGTAGCAATTTTGAGCAAGGGTGTAGTTGATGGATTTAAGAGTTAGAGGTGGCTTTCATTAAAAGTTAAGAGGAGGTTAATGAAAGAGTGATAAGGGTAAAATCGTTATTTTATATATTAACAAATATTTATTAAAGACTTTCAACGTAAAAGGGGTTAGATTTCTGTTTTCGAAACTAATGAGGAGTCATGTAACCTTAAACATGTGGCAATTTATTAAATTCCCCTTCCATAAAACTATCATTAAACATCTCCTCTAGCACAATAATGTTTATCTTTTTTATTTTTTGACATCATGGATAGAAAAGCAAATAACTTTTACATAGGTGAACCTAGCTACCAAAACACTTTCATATTCTTGTAAATCACATCATATATATTATAAAAATAACCATTAAAAATTTCATAAAAACCGAGAGGAAGGAACAAGAGATGTTATGACAAGGTTCAATAATAACTTAATGGAAGTGTTTGAAATTTGGAGAGGAGAAACAAGGTTAGGACAAGATTTTTATGTATATATGATCTCTAAATGTATGTTACATGATAGAGCGCTAAGTATGATAATGTAATGATACATAAAAATCTTGTCCTAACGTCCAAGATGCATATTCTTAAGATAAATTAAACGATTACTTATTATAATGAGTATATAAGAGTTGTGTGTGTTGCAAAGGTTAAGCATTAGGGGTGGAGCTAGTCAGGCAACCCACAAAGTTTTTTAAAATTTAATAGAAAATTATATTTAATCTCTATAAATCTAATATTTTCCTTTTGGCCCCTCAATTTTCAAACTTAATACTATAGCCCAAATTGATCAAAAATGTGTTTATACTATAGCCCAAATTGATCAAAAATGTGTTTCTTCTTACTAATTTAATCTTACTTATAAAAGAAACGTGGATTGCCTAATTAATAATATTATATATACAAAGTTGAAATTTCCATTGAGTTAATGATATACAAACTGTCAAATACCACGTTAATTGTAAGATATTGTAATAATATCCTATAATTAAAGTGATACCAACACATTAGTAACCACATTTGCAATCCCAACTTTATAAATATGACATTACTCAAAAGTCAAATAACTTGTTACAGATGTGTTAATAGACGAGATTTCAATGGCATCAATTTCATCAAAATATCACTCTAAGAATTGACAATCTAAATAAACAATAACTTCATTATTCAAACATTAGAAATACTTGGAGACAAAGCTTTAGAAAGACTTGGACAAGAAGTAAATGAATGTTCCATTACAATTCAAAGTAAACAACAACAAAAATAAATACATTACAATTAGCATAATGATCTTGGAGAAAAAAGCCACATTTAAAGGCCCTTTTTTTTTTTAAATAAAAAAATGCTACTTTTAAATAAAATAGACAAAACTACCTCTCACTCAGCACATTTTTAAATTTACTCTTTTAGCAATATAAACATGTGTTACATGGAATAAGTTTAAGCTATTTACTGTAATATGCAACACACTTATAATTACATTTAAATTATATAAATGTACTCTATTTATTTATTTATTGTTTTTAATCCTCCAATTATAGGGTTTATTTTACCCTTGATATTGTTTAGGATTAACTAATACGTTATGGTTCCAAAAAAAAAAAAAAAAAAAAAAACGTTTTAAAAATATGGAGCATGTCCTTAACAAAATTGTCAAAAAAAAAATTTTGTCAGAAGATATTAAACACTTTATAGACAAAAAGCAATCTCATAAGGGAGAATAAACCCTCTAATTATATCCCATGAGAAATTGACATCACTTAAATTAGTTTTTGATTAATCTAAAAGAAAATTAAAAATTGGAATTTTCAAACAAATAATTCGTTTTGTGAAATTTTTTAATAAATAATTATAACGTGTCACATCAACCGTAATTGGACTGTGTCCGTCCCACGACAATAGAATTCCTAAATACAAAACCCTAACGCCAACACAAAACCATAGCTGAAAACGGCACCGTTCCTCCACTCAAAAACACACGCGCCACCACTGCGCTAAATCTCTCTCTTTCGCTTGCTCGTGTGCTCCATTTCTCCCTCCCTCTCTCTCTAAGCTTCAATTCAGCAATGGCGGAGAGCGGTTCAGCCTCCGTGATAACTCTCGGTGGCAAAGGCGCAATCCTCACCTCCTCCTCCGTCTACTCCGTCTCCAACTCCCTCGCTCACGTGCGCCTCGACTCCTCGGCCCTCGATCGTCTCTCTTCCTCGCCGCCCAATCAGAACCCGCCACCTGTCACTAACTACCAAATCCTCTTTCACCAAAGCCTAACTCCAGAAGAGTCCCGCGCTTCCCTCATTGTCCTCCTCAACAAGCTCCTTTCAGTTCAGTCCGGTTCGGGTGTCCGTACGGTTCTTCCGGTTCATATTTCGGAGACGCTAAATTCTGGAGGTGCTAAAATTGGGCGTGAACCGGTTGAGGTGAGTGAAGATGAGCGCGCTTTGTTGGAGAAATTGAGTTTGCCTTGTGCATTGTGTGGTGTTTGTGCGGTTTTGGATTACAAATCGACGGCTTTGTCTACGATTATTGATGCGGTGGCAGCTTTGTCGTGTGAGGCCTCTGGCGCTGACGTGGCGGCTTTTAATTCGATTGATTCGGGAGATGGGTTCACCGCGAAGGAGGAGATTGCGGTTGCTGGGGACTTGAAAGTGTTGCTTAATGGATCTAAGTTAGTGGGGAAAGTAAAGACTGAAGAGGTTTTGGAAACTCCGAAAATTAATGGGAAGTTAAGAGAAGTAGTTAAATTAGTGCATTCGAGCACGAGGATTGAGTTGAATTCGGGTGTGAGAGTGGGGATTAGTGGGACCGCGAAGGCCTTGGGGGCCAATGTAATGGCATTGGTATCTGCAGTTAAGAATGTGGGTGAAAGTAGTTTGTTTCGTGCGAAAATGAGTTTGAGTAAGGTTGTTGGTGATGAATTGAGGAGTTTGTTTGAGAAGGATGTTTTGACTGGGGATAGTTTGAGGAGTGTGTATAAGTTGGTTTTGGTTGCACATTTGGAGGAGGATAATGTGAAGTTTGTTCATGAGGCGAATGTGTTGTTGGGGCTTGCGTTGAAGATTGTGGCATGGGAGGCGGTGATTGCATTTGCTGTGCTTGAAGGTGGGGAGTTGCTGGGTGAGAAGGTGAATGGAGGAGATGCGGGAGGGGATAAAAAGAGTGAGAAGAAGAAGAAGAAGAAGGTGGTTTTTGGTAAGGGAACTGGGGTGATTGTGCAATTGATTAAGGATAGGTTACAGAGTAAGGGTTTGGGGGTTTTGGAGAAATGGGTTGAGGATCTTTTTTCATTTTTGGATCCAAAGGACCCAGATTTTGATGGTTTGCTGACAAAGGTTAAAGAGATTGTAGAGAGCAATGAAAGCAGAAGGCTTCCCAAGCTTCCTAAGGTAAATGATATGCGTTTTCAATTTTCTTAATTTGAGCTTTTTGCAACTGAAAGAATAGAAAAATTAAAAGTATTTTGAAGAATAATTAAGAATTTGTTTGTGTTATAGATCCTTTGGTATTTTATGTGTAGGTAGTGGATGCGTGTAGGATATTAGGTTTTAGCTCAAACATTCATGATATGGAGTTAATTTGTAGCCCATGATGAATACTTTTAAGATGCATGCTGCTGAACAACTGTGGGGCCAACAGTGTAATGTTGAGCCAATTCAGAAAAAGTCCTATGCATGATAAGCTGGAAAAATCAGTTGATTGAAAATTGTGCAAATGCCTTATAAACTTGTGGTTTATATGGAATTGTTTCTGAAATATTAATTGTGTTAAAGGCCTTTGGATTAATGACTAAGTCGTGAGCTTGGGTTTGATTCTAGGAATTGTGTTGAAATTTGCTTGGTGAAAATAGTTTTTTATTTTTTTATTGCAATTATAGTTTATATATATGTGTGTGTGTTCCTTTAACATTATAAAACTATTTTTTTTTGGTATTTTGAATCTTTTGATATGAAAACTTAGAAAGAATTTCAATGCAGGGGCATGAAACATTTCAAGTCATATATGTTCAAGCATTGGATAATTGTTGGTTCTGTAGTTTATTGTTCAGTAGCTGAATGCAAAGCTATGAACTCAATTTTTTCAGATCTATTATGTCCTCATTGTTAGAAATAGACTTTCTGTCTTTAGACAAAAAACCCTTTTGGTTGATGGAATGGTATGGCTTACTCTGGCATTGACTGGAATCAGTAGCATTCTTACATTTGCACATTATGGTGCAGGGTACGCGCGACTTTGCAAAAGAACAAATGGCGATAAGAGAAAAAGCATTTTCAATTATTACTGAAGTTTTCAAGAGGCATGGTGCCACTGCCTTAGATACTCCTGTTTTTGAATTGAGAGAGACCCTAACAGGAAAATATGGAGAGGATTCGAAGTTGATTTATGATCTTGCTGACCAGGTAAGTACATGATTATTAGTTAAATCAGCTGTATTCATGTTTCTTTTTTCTATAAATTAATAATATTTTGGGGAAGTAACCCCTTATTTGGAATTTTTATCTGCTTAAAGCTTCACACATAACGTGGTACTTTTGTGCTTGAATGCATTTTATTTTCTTATATGTTGGTTGAGTTTTCTTTACTCTTAATATATTGAATGAAAGGGTAGTCAAATGGAAAACTAAAATTCTAGTTGAAGCTTACCCATATATTTGTGATTCCTGATTCTAGTACCAAAATTGTTCAAGTTTTTGAACGAGGAAAGGTAGGAATTTCCTTGACTTAAAATTTGATCTCTTTTTGCTGTCACAATGTAGTCTTTAATTATAAACTTATAATTCTTTGCAAAAAAATTAGGTTATGGTGATTCTGCTCTGTTTTAGTAGTTGAATGGATTTGTAACTGTATTCATCTTTCTTTACTATTTCCCTTCTGTGGACTATTGTTGGGTTTTTGATGGCTAACGAGTGTTTTATTAATAGTTACCTTGATCAGCAGAATATAACTTTTTTTGTCTACTTGTTTGCAGGGTGGTGAGCTTTGCTCTCTGCGATATGACTTGACTGTTCCATTTGCTCGTTATGTGGCTATGAATGGTCTTACTTCCTTGAAAAGGCATCAAATAGCTAAGGTGTATAGAAGAGATAACCCATCTAAAGGAAGATTTCGTGAATTTTATCAATGTGACTTTGATATTGCTGGCCAATATGAAAGGATGGGGCCAGATTTTGAAGTCATTAAAATTTTGACAGAACTGCTTGATGAACTAGCTATTGGAGATTATGAGGTAAGTCTCAGTAACTATATATATATATATATATATTCCTGGTTTCCTACACATTAGGCTTCATGAGATTACCTTGTGGCCTCTAGGATGTTGGAGTTGATATGTGAATAGAATATGTTGTTCACATGTATGAGATATGTTACATGGATATAAACGTCTCGCATTCTAGTAACACTTAAAAGTTTTGATGATGTTAGAGTTATGGATCTTGATATATGAATTAACAATTTTCTAAATGGAAACAAAGAAATTTATTGATAGAATAGATCAAAAACCTTACATATATAAATTAGTATTCAGATAATAGAATATTGTATATGAGCTTTAAAATATGTACTCTTTTTCTTCAGCAATTTCAGGGTCAATGGATTTGGGCAGTTGAATAAACACCTATTTGTAACTTTTTATTGTTTTTGATAATCTAGCTACTTCTACAAACATTTGCATATTTCAGTCAAGTAACTTCTTAAAAATGTTTTTGCCTCTAAAATTATTTGATGAATTTCATTTTGCAGATAAAGTTGAATCATAGAATGTTACTAGATGGAATGTTGGAAATATGTGGAGTGCCTCCTGAAAAATTCAGAACTATATGTTCAAGTATTGACAAGCTAGACAAGCAAACTTTTGAGCAGATTAAAAATGAAATGGTAAGCATATAGGTATCCATGCAACTCCATTGTGCATTATTGTCCATACAGGTTGCTTTTAATGTTCTAATGTCTGGTTTGCTTTCCTTTGGCCTGGGGAGACTAAGATTGTTATTCACAGGTTCTTATCACTCTTGTACAGTTTCTTAAATGTAGTCCACTGATTTTTAAGATGAAATAATTGGAACCAATTTAAACTGCCGACCATGAGAAATAAAAGTCCCATGTGAGTGGCTCAGGCCTTTAACGGCAATATTGGAGTCCTGGCTGTTTTATTGGAGACCATACTCAGTGCACTTGTGTGCCAAAGAGAGCTGCTCTCTAAGAAAAATCTCCACAACCAATTGCCTGGCAAAGTCAGGTTCCTATTAATTAGACTACCCACTCCTTGCCCCTGCTGCTTTGAGGTTGAGTCAGAATAGTAAGATGAAAGTTACCATCGGTTTTTTGAATCTTAATTTGGAAAGCAGTTCTTGCAAGTCTGGTTTACTTCTAGACTAGTGATGACTCAATACTTTAAGCCCTGCAAGTCTTACCTTCATAAGATGTTTTGCAAAGGTTGTAGCCCAATTTTACTATATTAAAGTAAAATAAACAAACAACTCTTTTTCCCCTTTGCTGCATCAAAAATCAATAGACTAGGTTCACTGCATCTTTGTCTGCTGTATGATGGAGATTGAAAGTGATTCCTACTGCTAATATTCGTTTTTCTTTGTAAAATATATTGCATAATGGTGAATGCGTCAGGCTTTTTTATACTCTGCAAGAGTATAATTTATACTGTTTTTTGTTCTAACTTATTTGAAAATAAATGCTAAATTGACCATTTTGTTTTTATAATTTTTCTCTTTTATTGCCAAATAAGTATATCTCTTGCCTCTTTCCCCTGCTTCTCTCTTCTTTTTGTTCTCCAATATTCAGCTCTTGCCATATTTTGTTGGTCATAAACTCATGATTTTGCATTGTTAATAACATTGTAAAACTAATGTTTTCTAGGTTGAGGTAAAGGGCTTAACTGTTGAGACAGCAGATAAGATTGGAACTTTTGTGAAGGAAAGAGGATCCCCTTTGGTATTGTTGTCAAAGCTTAAACAGGAAGGAAGCAAGTTTTTGGAAAACAATTCATCAAAAGTTGCATTGGATGACCTTGAAATTTTATTTCAAGCTCTAGAAAAGTCTAAGTGTGTTGACAAAGTTGTTTTTGATTTGAGTCTTGCGAGGGGTCTTGATTATTATACTGGAGTGATTTATGAAGCTGTTTTCAAAGGGGAGACACAGGTAAATTCTAGTTGTGCATCCGCATTTAGTTCTTTTCATCAAGGCTATTTGATATATATATAGATATACATATTGCATACCATATTATTGTGACATTTTATTAAGTAATATTGGATCATTTTGTTGTAATTATGCTCATAGATCACTCTTATGATGATTTTTCTTTTACTAAATTCATCAGAAGTTAATCCTGTCATACATGAAAGCAATTATTATTTGCAATTTTTGGTAAAACATATTTGATGGAATATATCTTGGAATAAAACTTGTTAAAGATCAAATCTTTGAGTTTGCCCGAGGATTGGTTGGCTGAAGTGACCACTCTCAAAATCAAATCTTTTCTTTGTGCTTATCTGACTTCTACCATTGCCCTAGATAATGGCAATGTCATGCTTGTTCCAGTATTGAGGTAACATGTGGTGTAATATGAATGCTCAGTAAGTTTACAAATAAAATCATGCATATTAAGTTTTAATTATTAAAGGCTTATTGAGATACCTTATTAAAAGTGGGCTACTTATTTTGATTGGAGCCTGATTAGGACTGTGCCTGACTTGTTAATACTTAGCTGTGGCCCAATCCAAGCTAGCAAAAGATAAGTTACAAGTGGAGTTCTTGAATGGGGCTGTTCATGTCACCAAGTCCATGAAAATAATTCCCAGTTGAGTCACATATTCTGTCTTTGCATGAAGCACTTGGGTTTTGGCAGTTTTGCTAAACCTTGAGGTCCCTTTTGCTCTTTCTTGTACATTTTGGTCTTTTTTTTTTTTTTTTTTGGTTCCTAATCCAGTGATCAAGTGTACTGTCTCAGCAGCTTACTGTCCAATAGTTATAGCTAATAAAACGTAGCTGTTGTGCCATACCAGTTCATGAATGTATTGTCTGTTGACTAGATTGTGCCAGCTCAGTCTAACCCTAACAGTTTACATTTCTAAAATCAAGCCTATGTTTCCTGGACTGAGGCTGAGTTCTGTACCCAATCTCTATAGCTTCTTGGGGAAGAAGGATGTAGTAGATAAAAGAAGGATAGAAGCTAAACTCCCACTTCTTTACATTTCGATGAAAATGTAAAGGGTAGCTAGAACAACATAAAAGAGATTGGTCATATGAGTTAAATCATAAACCAAATTTCCTCTTTGTTGCTTACCACTGGATTAAATGATATCAAATGAAATCTATTGAAATATGGCATCTCTATCAAATTTATGTAAATCATTATTCATTTGTCATCTTATAATTTCTTCCCGGCATTAGTTTTATAGTTGTTGCTAAGATAATATGACTAACTCCTTTATGTACTCAGGTTGGTTCAATTGCTGCTGGTGGACGTTATGACAACCTTATTGGAATGTTTGGTACTAAGCAGGTTCCAGCAGTTGGTGTCAGTCTTGGAATTGAGCGAGTGTTTACTATAATGGAGCAGCTACAAAAAGAAAGGAACCAGGTGATGATAACATTCATATATAGTTGGTTTCTGTGAGTCAATTATTAGCTAAATATTATACTGTGCATTTTGTTGAGGAATAAATGTGTTGATTGCTCCAATATTCTACACCCATTGGATGTTTCCTGTAACCCAGCCTTGTTCATTTGTTTGTTAACAGCATTCTATTGTGCTCATTTTCTTTGTAGATTTAGTGTTACTTTTACAAATATTTGGTTGATTAGGAGTGCTAGGAACACTCTCTTTTGCACTTTTTTTTCACTCTTACTTTCATCATGACGTGTAGAAAATACAAAAAGATGAAAAACAAATGATGCTTTCTTTTAGATTGCAGAGTTAGATCTGTGAAGTGCTTTTTAAGTTATCCTTGTCAAGCTTAGATAAAATCTTATCCCTTTCAAGGGTCTATCATTTGATTTTACATGGTCTCTATGGTTTGGGGTAGAAATGTTCTATTTTAAGGAGAAAAGCTCGCCACTCTCCTTTTTCACTGTGTCACTTCCACTTGATGCATGTACAAAAACAAAAAATGTGGCAAGTTGATAATATGGTTAAAATAGTGATAACTTTGTTTTTTATATGCTCGTCAAAAGGAAAATGAAATAGTGGGAAAGAGAATTTAGTTAACATTTCTCCATTTTTAAGTTCATTTGGTGGATAACTTTAGAAATCTCTGTGCTTGTATTTGTTGTAGGCACTAATGTGCCATTTCTTGTTTTCTCTGGTGTTGGCAGACAATCCGAGCCAGCGAGACACAAGTACTGGTGGCCTTGCTTGGAGATAAGCTACCTCAAGCGGCAGAGCTAGTTAGTGAGCTGTGGAATGCTAAGGTGAAAGCAGAGTTCATGGTCCACAAGAAAGTGATGAAGCTCATAGATCGCGCCAGGGAGTCAAAAATCCCTTGGATGGTAATTGTCGGTGAGCGGGAGCTGAACGAAGGAATTGTAAAGTTAAAGAACATCGATACCACTGTAGAGGAGACCGTCCCCAGAAGTAAATTTGTCGAGGAACTTCAAAGACGGTTGAACCAATGAAAATACTATTAAGTTGAGGTATAAATTTACAACCATGTTCCATTTCAACTCATGCCAATCTGCTGTGTTATTCAATGCCTGTTTTATCGAAAAATTTCTCATTTTATTAGCTGTATGGGAAAATCTGAGGTATGCATCTTAATATATGGTAAACTGATATATATTGAAATTTTGTTTTCATAAATATTTTCTGGAATTTTATCTTATTATTTTAGTTTCGGGAGTTGAGAATTTATGTTTAACAAGTAATAGGCTCTGTTATCATTTATAGGAATAGAGTTCCTATAAGTAGAGATTTTATTTATAGAGCTCTTAAGTAGTTTATCCTTAGTTTGTTGTTTATTCAAACAGAGTTAATGTAAGGAGAAACTATTCTATTATAATTTTTAGCAAAAAAATAAAATAAAAAAATAAAAAAATTATAGTGTTAAAACACTTTTATATAGGTGGATTGATAGTGGTATTTCATATGAAAATCCCCCAAGGATAATATTTTTTTATTAGTGTGATTTTAAATCTACTTTTGAGCAGATTAAAAAAGAAATGGTAAGCATATAGGTATCCATGCAACTCCATTGTGCATTATTGTCCATACAGGTTGCTTTTAATGTTCTAATGTCTGGTTTGCTTTCCTTTGGCCTGGGGAGACTAAGATTGTTATTCACAGGTTCTTATCAGTCTTGTACAGTTTCTTAAATGTAGTCCACTGATTTTTAAGATGAAATAATTGGAACCAATTTAAACTGCCGACCATGAGAAATAAGAGTCCCATGTCAGTGGCTCAGGCCTTTAACGGCAATATTGGAGTCCTGGCTGTTTTATTGGAGACCATACTCAGTGCACTTGTGTGCCAAAGAGAGCTGCTCTCTAAGAAAAATCTCCACAACCAATTGCCTGGCAAAGTCAGGTTCCTATTAATTAGACTACCCACTCCTTGCCCCTGCTGCTTTGAGGTTGAGTCAGAATAGTAAGATGAAAGTTACCATCGGTTTTTTGAATCTTAATTTGGAAAGCAGTTCTTGCAAGTCTGGTTTACTTCTAGACTAGTGATGACTCAATACTTTAAGCCCTGCAAGTCTTACCTTCATAAGATGTTTTGCAAAGGTTGTAGCCCAATTTTACTATATTAAAGTAAAATAAACAAACAACTCTTTTTCCCCTTTGCTGCATCAAAAATCAATAGACTAGGTTCACTGCATCTTTGTCTGCTGTATGATGGAGATTGAAAGTGATTCCTACTGCTAATATTCGTTTTTCTTTGTAAAATATATTGCATAATGGTGAATGCGTCAGGCTTTTTTATACTCTGCAAGAGTATAATTTATACTGTTTTTTGTTCTAACTTATTTGAAAATAAATGCTAAATTGACCATTTTGTTTTTATAATTTTTCTCTTTTATTGCCAAATAAGTATATCTCTTGCCTCTTTCCCCTGCTTCTCTCTTCTTTTTGTTCTCCAATATTCAGCTCTTGCCATGTTTTGTTGGTCATAAACTCATGATTTTGCATTGTTAATAACATTGTAAAACTAATGTTTTCTAGGTTGAGGAAAAGGGCTTAACTGTTGAGACAGCAGATAAGATTGGAAATTTTGTGAAGGAAAGAGGATCCCCTTTGGTATTGTTGTCAAAGCTTAAACAGGAAGGAAGCAAGTTTTTGGAAAACAATTCATCAAAAGTTGCATTGGATGACCTTGAAATTTTATTTCAAGCTCTAGAAAAGTCTAAGTGTGTTGACAAAGTTGTTTTTGATTTGAGTCTTGCGAGGGGTCTTGATTATTATACTGGAGTGATTTATGAAGCTGTTTTCAAAGGGGAGACACAGGTAAATTCTAGTTGTGCATCCGCATTTAGTTCTTTTCATCAAGGCTATTTGATATATATATAGATATACATATTGCATACCATATTATTGTGACATTTTATTAAGTAATATTGGATCATTTTGTTGTAATTATGCTCATAGATCACTCTTATGATGATTTTTCTTTTACTAAATTCATCAGAAGTTAATCCTGTCATACATGAAAGCAATTATTATTTGCAATTTTTGGTAAAACATATTTGATGGAATATATCTTGGAATAAAACTTGTTAAAGATCAAATCTTTGAGTTTGCCCGAGGATTGGTTGGCTGAAGTGACCACTCTCAAAATCAAATCTTTTCTTTGTGCTTATCTGACTTCTACCATTGCCCTAGATAATGGCAATGTCATGCTTGTTCCAGTATTGAGGTAACATGTGGTGTAATATGAATGCTCAGTAAGTTTACAAATAAAATCATGCATATTAAGTTTTAATTATTAAAGGCTTATTAAGATACCTTATTAAAAGTGGGCTACTTATTTTGATTGGAGCCTGATTAGGACTGTGCCTGACTTGTTAATACTTAGCTGGGGCCCAATCCAAGCTAGCAAAAGATAAGTTACAAGTGGAGTTGTTGAATGGGGCTGGTCATGTCACCAAGTCCATGAGAATAATTCCCAGTTGAGTCACATATTCTGTCTTTGCATGAAGCACTTGGGTTTTGGCAGTTTTGCTAAACCTTGAGGTCCCTTTTGCTCTTTCTTGTACATTTTGGTCTTTTTTTTTTTTTTTTTTGGTTCCTAATCCAGTGATCAAGTGTACTGTCTCAGCAGCTTACTGTCCAATAGTTATAGCTAATAAAACGTAGCTGTTGTGCCATACCAGTTCATGAATGTATTGTCTGTTGACTATAGATTGTGCCAGCTCAGTCTAACCCTAACAGTTTACATTTCTAAAATCAAGCCTATGTTTCCTGGACTGAGGCTGAGTTCTGTACCCAATCTCTATAGCTTCTTGGGGAAGAAGGATGTAGTAGATAAAAGAAGGATAGAAGCTAAACTCCCACTTCTTTACATTTCGATGAAAATGTAAAGGGTAGCTAGAACAACATAAAAGAGATTGGTCATATGAGTTAAATCATAAACCAAATTTCCTCTTTGTTGCTTACCACTGGATTAAATGATATCAAATGAAATCTATTGAAATATGGCATCTCTATCAAATTTATGTAAATCATTATTCATTTGTCATCTTATAATTTCTTCCCGGCATTAGTTTTATAGTTGTTGCTAAGATAATATGACTAACTCCTTTATGTACTCAGGTTGGTTCAATTGCTGCTGGTGGACGTTATGACAACCTTATTGGAATGTTTGGTACAAAGCAGGTTCCAGCAGTTGGTGTCAGTCTTGGAATTGAGCGAGTGTTTACTATAATGGAGCAGCTACAAAAAGAAAGGAACCAGGTGATGATAACATTCATATATAGTTGGTTTCTGTGAGTCAATTATTAGCTAAATATTATACTGTGCATTTTGTTGAGGAATAAATGTGTTGATTGCTCCAATATTCTACACCCATTGGATGTTTCCTGTAACCCAGCCTTGTTCATTTGTTTGTTAACAGCATTCTATTGTGCTCATTTTCTTTGTAGATTTAGTGTTACTTTTACAAATATTTGGTTGATTAGGAGTGCTAGGAACACTCTCTTTTGCACTTTTTTTTCACTCTTACTTTCATCATGACGTGTAGAAAATACAAAAAGATGAAAAACAAATGATGCTTTCTTTTAGATTGCAGAGTTAGATCTGTGAAGTGCTTTTTAAGTTATCCTTGTCAAGCTTAGATAAAATCTTATCCCTTTCAAGGGTCTATCATTTGATTTTACATGGTCTCTATGGTTTGGGGTAGAAATGTTCTATTTTAAGGAGAAAAGCTCGCCACTCTCCTTTTTCACTGTGTCACTTCCACTTGATGCATGTACAAAAACAAAAAATGTGGCAAGTTGATAATATGGTTAAAATAGTGATAACTTTGTTTTTTATATGCTCGTCAAAAGGAAAATGAAATAGTGGGAAAGAGAATTTAGTTAACATTTCTCCATTTTTAAGTTCATTTGGTGGATAACTTTAGAAATCTCTGTGCTTGTATTTGTTGTAGGCACTAATGTGCCATTTCTTGTTTTCTCTGGTGTTGGCAGACAATCCGAGCCAGCGAGACACAAGTACTGGTGGCCTTGCTTGGAGATAAGCTACCTCAAGCGGCAGAGCTAGTTAGTGAGCTGTGGAATGCTAAGGTGAAAGCAGAGTTCATGGTCCACAAGAAAGTGATGAAGCTCATAGATCGCGCCAGGGAGTCAAAAATCCCTTGGATGGTAATTGTCGGTGAGCGGGAGCTGAACGAAGGAATTGTAAAGTTAAAGAACATCGATACCACTGTAGAGGAGACCGTCCCCAGAAGTAAATTTGTCGAGGAACTTCAAAGACGGTTGAACCAATGAAAATACTATTAAGTTGAGGTATAAATTTACAACCATGTTCCATTTCAACTCATGCCAATCTGCTGTGTTATTCAATGCCCGTTTTATCGAAAAATTTCTCAGTTTATTAGCTGTATGGGAAAATCTGAGGTATGCATCTTAATATATCGTAAACTGATAGATATTGAAATTTTGTTTTCATAAATATTTTCTGGAATTTTATCTTATTATTTTAGTTTTGGGAGTTGAGAATTTATGTTTAACAAGTAATAGGCTCTGTTATCATTTATTGGAATAGAGTTCCTATAAGTAGAGATTTTATTTATAGAGCTCTTAAGTAGTTTATCCTTAGTTTGTTGTTTATTCAAACAGAGTTAATATAAGGAGAAACTATTCTATTATAATTTTTAGCAAAAAAATAAAATAAAAAAATAAAAAAATTATAGTGTTAAAACACTTTTATATAGGTCAATTGATAGTGATATTTCATATGAAAATCCCCCAAGGATAATATTTTTTTATTAGTGTGATTTTAAATCATTAATTATCTATATATATTAATTAAAAATTGTCAAAGTAAATGAAATAATAGGGGAAACGACTTACACCTACCCAAGGTTTGGCGAAACGATCGATTGGTATTCAAAAGGTTTGAAAACGACAAACAGGTACCTTTTGTTATTTGTTGTTAGTGATTTCTGTTTACTAATGGTGAAAATGCTAGAATGTCCTTGAAAGTTTGATATTTTAGTTTTTTAAAAAATTTATAAAAAAGCCTCCTAAGTTTGCTAATTGAACTAAACACTCAAATATATAAAATTTTTGTAAAATGACAAAAACACTCCCACCACTCGCAGTGTTAGATTCCGGCCACCACCATCAAAATCTGGTCGAAAAACTGCGTTATGACATAGACCCGTTAGATCTGTGTTGTAACGCGTCGATCTGGCCTTTTTCGGTTAGATTTGTCATGGATCTGGTCGGTAAAGGCCAGATCTACGGTCAGATCTAGCCGTCGACGGTCACAACACTCCATCCTGGCTGTCAGCGACGGCTAAAGATGTGGTCATCGTTGTCTGTCAACGATGGCCATTTCTTTGGCTGTCACTTTCCGGCTAGATCGGTGAAGTATCGACAATTTCCGGTGGTGGTGTAGATCGTTGTGACAGATTCTGGTTACCACCGACGGTGGTTGTTAGAATCTGGCAAGTATGGGTGGATGGGGTTGTTTTTGTTAATTTTTAAACTTTTTTTGGGGGTATTTATGAATTTAATAAACTTAAGGGGTCTAAAAGTAATTAAAAAATAGACTAATATTTCTTCAAGGGCATTCTAGTCTTTTCACCATTAAAAAACGAAAATCACTAACAATATATGATGGAAGGTATCTGTTTGTCGTTTTCAAACCTTTTGGGTATCAATGTTGTTTCGCCAAACCTTGGGTAGGTGTAAGTCGTTCGGCCTGAAATAATACAATACGTGCTTTTAGTCGCCCTTTTATGTGGTATTAATTAGTACATTGGATATGAATTGAGGACTTGGAAGTACATTGCATTAGTTAATACAATACAATGTAAAATTCCCACCAAACTTGGTTGAGTATTGTTTAGAATTATATGGTGTTCTTTGTATTACTCCCTCTGTCTTTATATAAAAGTCATTTTAATGGTGTTTTAACTTTTCAAATTAAAAGTCGCTCATTGTCTTGTCCTTTCTCCACTTTTCGTCATGGCCCACATCTCCTTTGTCTCTCTTTATCTTATCTTATCTCTTCCTCTCTTCCATATTTTCCATCGCCCACTTCTTATGTCTCTACTCTATGTCTCTACTTCCATCTTCTCTTTCTTTTTCGGAACAAAGTTTAAAGACATGATCCTCGACTTGGACTTTATCGAAGGTCAATTCTTCGACTTTAAAGAGCCACGTTTCGTAGAATCAAAGAAATGGAAATGGAACAGAAATGGAAATGAGTGAGGGACGATAGAATAAAAGAAATGGAACAGGGTAAAAGAAAAGAAAAAGACGAAGGAGCAGAATAAAAGAAATGGAATAAGACAAATGTAAATTATTTAAATATGCAGCGGGAAAGTTTCCCACTTACAAAATCTTTTCTCACTGCAAAATCAGGGGAAAAAGTTGGGTGGGAGAGACAAAATTTTTTTTTATTAAAAATCGTGACAAACTTAAAACGACTTTTATATAAAAACGGAGGAAGTATATAAATGTTGTGCATCAAACATACTTATATTTTCTTATAACTTATATGACGGTTGAATCAATGGTAAATCAAACGTCATAAGGTTTGATATGACGTTGGAGTAGTACTTCACTACTTTGTGATCATAGTCCAACGTCATATCAAACCTTATGACGTTTGATTTACCATTGATTCAACCGTCATATAAGTTATAAGAAAATATAAGTATGTTGTGCATCAAACATACTTATATTTTCTTATAACTTATATGACGGTTGAATCAATGGTAAATCAAACGTCATAAGGTTTGATATGACTTTGGAGTAGTACTTCACTACTTTGTAATCATAGTATTATTTTTCCACAAAGCACTTACCTTACAAAATATTTATTACTTCCTCCATTTTTATATAAAAATCGTTTTAAGTTTGGGCACGATTTTTAATTAAAAAAATTTGTCTATTGCACCCATCTTTTTCTCCTAATTTTGCAGGTGGGAAAAGATTTTGCAGGTGGGGAACTTTTCTGCTGCATATTTCAACAATTTACATTTGTTTTATTCCATTTCTTTTATTCTGCTCCTTCGTCTCTTTCTTTTCTTTTACTTTGTTCTATTTCTTTTATTCTATTGTCCCTTACTCATTTCCATTTCTGTTCCATTTCTATCTTTTTGATTCTCCGAAACGTGGCTCCTTAAAGTCGAAGAATTGACCTCCGATAAAGTCCGAGTCAGGGATCTTGTCTTTAAACTTTGTTCCGAAAAACAGAGAGAAGATGGAAGTAAAGACGCAGAGTAGAGAAAGAAGAAGTGGGCGATGGAAAATATGGAAGAGAGGAGAAGAGGGAAGAGATAAGATAAGATAAAGAGAGACAGAGGAGATATGTGCAATGACGAAAAGTGAAGAAAGGACAAGACAAGGAGCGACCTTTAATTTGAAAAAATAAAACACCCTTAAAACGACTTTTATATAAAAATATAGAGAGTATATCAATATAATTCTTTTAAAATAAATTCAGTTTTTAATACATAAATATAATCAAGATTAATTTTATATACGTTTTGTAACATCATTTAATTTGAAGCGCATTTAAACCTTTTATAATTAAAGAAGAGTTTTTTTTATGGTTTTTGAAAAACTTAGATCCGTTTCAAATTAATTAAGAGTCATGTTATTGGCCCCATTTCTTAAATGATCTCATTAAAATTTTTAAACATATCTAAATGTCTAAACAAACCCTCTCTATTTACAAAATAACCCTTATATGCATTTATATTTTTATTACTCATCTTATATATTCTCAATCCTTGTTTATATATATTATTGGCATCACATGTGTTTTCTTTTAAAATATAATAAAATAAGTAACAAACTTTTAAATTGTGTAAATATGCAAATCAATTGAATTATAAACAATAAAGTATGATAAAATAAACCCAAAGAATTTAATATATATATGTTATTAATCAAACACATTTCATCTTGGATTATTCCAAAATTAAATTTGGGTTTATAATGTAGAAAAAAGTAAACAAAATTTTTAAACTAGTAACAAAAGATTTATTCTAGATGGATTATGCATAAAATATTTTTACGTTTTATTTAGTAATTTTTATGAAGGGTAAAACTGTAATTAAAAAGAAAATAGTAATTGAGGTCAACTAAGAGAAAAGGTGAGGTGCCAACTGCCAACAGCATTAGCATCACTCTTAATTAGTCACAGAAACTGGTAAAGAAATTAATCAAAGTAATGGACTTTTATGGCTATAAAAAAAACGCATGTTAAAATTGGTTGCCGATTTCTTTGAAGAAAAACAAGAATTAAAGGTTGGTAGTAAGTCTTCAGGAATGATTATTTGGTAAGGATTTGACTTAAATTTTCAACCATTTAAGTTGGCCCTAGTCAATTTCCATTAAAGCAAGGCCTTCAAATTTAGGTTGAAACTGTACAATACCATTTAATCTAGTACACAACAAGCCATTAGTTTCCGACCAACTTTTATTAGGGGTTGCCTTTTTTTCTACCTTTTCATTTATTCATATTTTCTCCTCTTTTTTTTTTTTTTTTTTTTTCAACCATATTTTGTGTTTGAATAAGATATATTTTTTGTTTTATTCTATGATAGTAATGGGTGTTAATATAAGAGATTATCGACTATTGAATAAAATATTTTTTCATCGTTATGAAAACATCTCACATAACCCTCTAAAACTTCATATTTTGGTACTTGTTTGTTTATTGTGTAGCTTATACAATTTAATCACATTATATATATATATATATGATCGTTATGATATTTGAGAGTTTTCAATTTTATATCCCATACCCTTTTCACCCAATATTTGGATGTTCTTGTTTGAGTTGTGTGAGATAATATTCTCATATACGGTTACTTTTCTCAATAAAATTTATAATTGATTTGAAGAACGTTTTGAGATTCAGATGTTCTAGATGATATAACTAGTACATATTGTATATTCTTCCTTATTTCGGCATATTTTATTGTCTAACAGGAATTACGTTTACTTGTTTTGTAGAACAAGTTGTTATAAGATTTGTTATGGCTTGATCATTATTGAAGCTTTTGTTTCTGTTTAATACATAATGACGGAATCTAATTTTGGTTGGTTAATTTGATCATCAACTATTAATAGTTAGTTTTAATTTTGTATTTTGTTAAGTAAATGAATTAGTTGCTTGTTTTTTGTTGACACTTAAAAAAATTGAGACATACCCATTCAATAATGATAATCTTTTAATTCCTTGTATTAAAATATTTGAACATTTGAGATTACATTTGAGGGTTTTTATTTTTTTTATTTTTTCAACTACTTTCTTGGAAAATAGAAAAGATAATGCCATAAGTAGTACTATCAATTAGTTTATAGTTGTTAATAAAACCATCTTTACACAGTTTTACAAATTTCAACTATCAAATGTAAGTTCTCTAATTTGAGTTCGGCTACTCACTTGTTAACAGAATATTTAATTAAATACAAAAGTAAATCAAATTAATTCCAATATGTTTACTCTTTTAAGATATTAATGAAGATAATATATTTTATTGTGAGTGGTGGCAGCTTCTAAATTTCCTAAACGTCTTAACTAAGTTATTTATTTATCAAAACATGTTTTTTGTTAATTAATTAATTTAAAAGCATTTACTTGACACTTGTCCTCTTCTTTTCTTCCGTAAATTCTCTTCTCTGTAAAAAAGCATATCTCATCCTTTTCTGTGATATGTTCGACTGCTCTTCACCTCATTCTTCTCTTCATGTCCCTCAAACCCCATTGGACCAAAATTACAACAACTCAAAGCAACATTTATCCTCCATTTTTATAATATGAATTAACCAATTTATATTATTAAACATCAAATTAGAGAATTGCTTCTATATGGGACATTCTTAGACTCCATTGCGGTTTCTATTTATTCATGTAAAGAATAATAAAATATTCTTAAAATTTTTGTTGACCTCATAATGTTATTCATATCAATATTATAGAATATTTAGGAAAATAATATTTGTGTTATCCTAATTGACTGATTAAGGGTTCATATTTGGACTTATAAGAACTAAATATCTTTTATTTACTAGTTACGGCAAATGGACTATTAATTCGTTGTTAAAATTGTAACATTTAATAATATTTTAATAAAAATATGAACATTTTATATATGTTCCTTCAAAGGTTGTAAATGGTAAATTTTATGATATATTTGGGTTTGGTTAAAATATTAAATAGATTTTATTGGTTTTAAATTCATTAAAAATCGCTTAAAAAATTTCTATTAGGGTTTAGGGTTTGCTAGTACAAAAATACCCAGCAAAGAGTTTTCAAAACCATTGAAATATTACTTTTTATTCTTAATCATTTTTATATTTATCTAATAATTTGATAATATTATTAGATTGAAACTTTTTTTAATTCTTATAATTTAAAATTCTGAATTTCTTAATTATTATAAAAATAAAATTTAATAACATCTCTGTGGTTTTATCTTAATCCAGCAATCTCACCTACCAATTCCCAATTTCATGAATTTTACCGCCATTACAACTATCACAATTACATCCGTCGATTCCTTATCTACTTGAATCATCGGTGCAGATTTCATGAACTCAACCTGATGAGGACTCTACACGATTCTTTCTCCATCCGCACACACAACTATTAACTTTACCTTCCCCTTCTATTTCTCGTTCTGTCAGTCTCTCAATACCCTTTTGGCTTTAGCTTTTGGATTAGGCTTAGGGTTAGGTTTTGGGTTTGTGAATTGTTTTGTTTAATTTAAAGAAATTAAACATGGAAGGAGGAGATTCATCATCAAAATCAGGAGGTGGAGGTGATTTTTTCCAAGATTGGGAGCTTTTACAGAGTTCTGATTCTGATGTTGTTGTTAACCCAGAAAATTCAGTTGAAAATTCGAGGAATTTTGATGAAATTGAAGGGGATTATTCCGGTGGAATGATAAGATCGGATTATTTTTCGCTTGAAAATGAAAATCGGTATGCAAAAACTAGTCTTGTTGATGTGAGCGAAGAGGGTTCTGTTGAGTCGGATAATCCGAGTTGGATTGATCCCGGGTTGGAGACTCGGTTTGAGAGGAAGAATTCGGGGGAGTTTTGGTCGGATACGGGGAGTGAACGATCTGATGAACGTAAATTTGGTGATTTGGAGGCGAAAAACGAGATGGGTTTGGTTGAAACTGGGAAAATTCAAGTGGGTTTGGGTGATTTTGAGGTGAAAAATGAATTGGGGTTGGATGTGAAGTTGAAAAGGGAGGTGGGTTTTGAAGGGTTTGGAGAGAGTCAATTGCAAGATAAGAATTTGGGGAAGTTTTGGTCTGATTCGGGCGGTGATGGATTGGTTTTGAGGAGCTTTGAGGGTGTTGAGAAGGAGGAGGAGATGGGTTTTGGTGATCATGTGGAGGAAGGGGTTGAGTCTGAGGTTTGTGGCGAATCACATGGCGTGAATTCGCGTGTTGCGATTGAAGAAGTGAAGGGTGAAGTGAAGGCGGTCGGTGTAGAAGAGAAGGGGAGGATAGCTTGGTGGAAAGTTCCTTTTGAGGTGTTAAAGTATTGTGTTTTGAAGGTTAATCCAGTTTGGTCAGTCTCCGTGGCGGCAGCTATGCTCGGATTGGTTATGTTGGGACGAAGGTTGTATAAGATGAAGAGGAAGACCAAGGGCTTGCAGCTCAAGGTTACCCTTGATGATAAGGTCAGTTATTGCATTTGTTTTGCTTTTTCAATTTCCAACATACCTAAATTCGTTCTATATTGGATTTTGAATTGCAGTTTGTGTCTCATGTTATCTTGTTTTAATACAAGAGTGTTTTAACCTAAAGCTTTTCATTTTCTCTTGATTGATATAATTTTGGTCACTCACTATCTTTTAACTTGTTAATTTGTATTTAAAATTGTCGGTAATTGAATTGGGATAACCAGTTGAGAATAAATTGCAAGAAGCGAAAATGGTTGAATCGCACAAAGGCGGAAAGAGAGTGAACCGAAATGCTCTTGTGCATAGGATTAAGGAGTGTCAAATAATTGTTGGGAACTTAAGAACATGGTAGGAAGCATGTAGTCATTTTTTGAATAAGTTGAAGAGAAAACTACCTTTACAGGATAGAAAGGGTATGGAACTTAATGTTCATTGAAGTACCATCAATTATGGAAATGTTTTGCAAAAGAGAAACTACTACATTTAAAAATTCTTTTCAATTTCAAATGAGATTAAAATTAACAAAAATTCTTCGAATGATCTACAAGGTACTTATTGTGTTTTGGTGTTCCTGATCCGCAATTAATAAGTGTTATAGTTCATTTTTTATACTGAGGAATTCCACAAGCAATCCAATTTCACTTCCTCAATTGTTATCGTTCATAACCATGATACATAGCAATGCATAATGTTGAATGATAGGGGTTGCAATATCATTTGCCTATTGACTTTATATTTTTCTTTAATTTCAAAGAGTAATTAGTGAAATTCTTAATTAATCTTTAATGTAATTTATGTTCTGTAATACAAATTTAACATGTAGCTGAGGAGGTTTCCCTTATGTCCTCTTCCATTCTAAATTTTCATTTTTAACTTTCTGTCTCCTGATATTTTCCTCATTTTGTGCTATGTAAACATGTGGTCTATCTTCAAAATAATTTCAATTTTGGGATTGTGAGAAGTTTTCCATAAGGTCCAATTGTTCCGCTTTAATGGGTGTAGTGCATTGTATTTAATTAGTATGAAGAAGATGGAGAAAAGATTACGGGATTTGTGTCTGGCATTAAGATAATCTAAAGTAAACCCCAAGATTGACTTTGTTTCAGTTTTCCTTGGTGTAATTTCAATTTTATCTATCAGAGATGTTTCAAATAGAAAATCCCTGTTATGCATAATAAATTAATTTTTTATTTCTTTATTACATTTTAAGGGTTTTTTACTATACCTTGTATTTCAATTAACATGCCTCTTGAAATGAGTAGTATATGTTTTTGTTTCAAATATATCTTGCAAGGGTTAGACTGTTATTGTTCAACCATGTTCAATTTCTCTTCAATGTTTGCAGAAGGTGTCTCAGTTTATGAGCCGTGCTGCTCGTCTCAATGAAGCATTCTCAGTGGTGAGGCGGGTCCCCATTGTACGGCCTGCACTGCCAGCAGCTGGAGTGAACCCATGGCCCGCGATGATGAGTTTGCGATAATAGTCTGTATGTTGGTGAAGTAGATATGTGAATGAAGCAGTGTGTGCAGAAGGTAAGTCTTATGATTATATGTTTGTCGTGGTTTGCTACTTAAAGGATTCAAAGTGTTTGAGCTCGTGTAAGAACTCTGATGAAGTTGAAATGTGTATAAATTCCAGACTTAGCTATTTTTCTCTGCTCCCCGCCCTATCCAAAAGTATATAAAAAATGTGCCTTCCTATATGATGTTTATTAGTTATAGTTCTGGTTTGAAAGTTCAGATAAGCGTTTAAATGTGCTGCCTTTTCTTTTTCTACTCGTCTTGGGGAGATAAAAGAATTGAAGAAGCTTTTTAATGGAAGTAAGAAGAAGTAAATCGCTCTTTGAATGAAGTAGAGAAACTTTTTATAAGTGGTAAATAACTTTTTGATGCGTGATCCATGGAGTTTTATTTATTTGATAGGCTTGGGTTTTATTATTTGGGAAACTTATAAATAACAATAAACTGTATTTTAATTTTTTTTAGGTCGGTATTAAGGGACTTGTCTTTACATAATAATAATTATTTGTATATTGTAAAAAAAAATATGTTTTTTTATATTAAAGGTTTAAAATGAAATAAAATATTTATTTAAAATTGTTTGAGATATTAATTTATATTTTAGAGTAATTACTACATCTTCGAACTTGCGGGTGTGTAATATACTATTTGCGTTAAGGATAATTAAGTTAAAACAATAATTTTTGTAACTATATCATTATGACTATAGAAATGTATATTATATTTAGGTTAATTTTATATACCTTATATGAGATTGTTTAATTAGAAGTGTAATCAAGTTTTTCGAAAACCATCAAAATCCCCTGTATGCTGTACAATGGCAAAAAGAGCTTGGATGCAAGATTATTTATGAGCCTTTTTTCACCTCAAATCAGAACTCAGAAGGGAGCTTTTTTCACTTCAAATCAAAGGATTTTATAATTTAATGGATATATTATTCTTTCATAGCAAATTATTTTCTACAGAAAGCCAAGTGGTCTTACTTTGATTAGATTCAATTTAAGCAAAATGAAATAACAACAACGTGCAAATTTTATAAGCAATCATTCAATCAAAACTAAAATTTAAGACAAAATCGAAGAAGTATCAACTGGCAGGAGGAACTGATTGCTCGCAACAACCAAATGATTCACGATGTGTATTGATGGTGATGTTTCTTGGATCCGATCTGTCTATATTTGTATGCCACTACTTCCTAAATGCCATCAACAGGAGCTCCACATCTTTAGCTTTTAGTCACAACCCAACTCTGGGATAATTATTTAGGATCGATTAGTCACTTTATTTAATAAATAACGAGTTGAACTAAATTAATATGTAGTGTTATGATGATGTCTCTACCAAGAGTTTAGTTTGAGATTGTTTCAGCCCACATATAATAAGAGGAAGGTTGTAAGACTTTTCTTCTCAATTTGGATATCTAAGGGTCTCAATATGTTGAAACAACTTATTCAAATAGAGCTTACACAAGAAGAACTTATTAAGAAAGAGTGTATAAAAATAATAACTTTTATGAAAGATTTGTTTGTTTTTTGTTTAGGAAAATGAGAAAAGCTTCTCTCATTAGCTATAAAGTAGTTTATTTTAAATTTTATAAGTACTTTTGAAATATTACCAAATAACTTAAAAGAAATTCAATCAATCTTTGAAACCAACTGAATTAATTTCTTTTGTGTGAAATTTATACCGATCATTGGAAATTAAATAGTTAAACTTTTATATTTGGGGTGGTTGTAAGAAGGTGAGCTTCTAAGTAGGAATAGCACACTGAATGTAAGGGAATTTCAGTGTCATTGAACCTCCAACGAGACAGCAATCTGGGACATTGAGCAAGTAACAATATCCAAAATAAATTAGTATTTATTAATTATTCCAATGATGTTGTATATATTTTATACTTTGTTATTATATATTACTTGTTATTATATATTACCAGTAAAATTAGTGATAAATATATTAAATAAGTTATTAATTATGCATTCTAAGAGATCTCTCATTGTTATGGAATGCTGTGTCCTGCTTAATTTATTAATATAAAAATTAAAAACAAAAATTTATAATAATTTAATTAAGAAAAAAATTGGGAATAAAAAATAAATCATTTTTACTACAGTTAACGAATATTGAATTAAAGAATCAATAATTAAAACCAAAATGATTAAATTAATAAAAACAAATACAACGCAGAATCAAGATTAATAAAAAGAACGCTTGAATGAGATTTGGTGCTGTACCAATTTTCCAAAATTTCTACAAGACAATTAGACACGTAGATAACCATTAAATTAAATGCATTATAGAAAATAAATTTTATAATAAAGCTAGTAGGGAATTTAGGATTTTATTCATATAATCGGTATTTTATATTGAACTTTTTTTTTTTTTTTTTGGTAATTTAAATTTAACATTGATTTTTAATTTAAGAATTTGATTTAAGGGGTTCACAAAGAATTTTAGGTGGATTTAAATAATATATTCTACTTGGTCAAAATTTTTCAAGTATTTGTGGGCTAAGTTTTCTTGTTCATATTTAAGTCCGTGATTCCTTAACCTTTCAATAAATTTGGTGGGCTGAAATATTAGGCCCAATCTTTGCCATAATTTTTTTATTTATCCCATCGCCCATTTCTTCTTCCTTTTAATAAAATTATAATAAATAAAACTGAGGGTCTGTTTGCTTTTTTATCTTAAGCCTGAACGTGACTAGTTTTAGTAGATTAATATGTTTTAGGTTTGTTTGTCTTTTGACTTATGTCTAATGTTTTTAAACCTAGCCAGCCCCTTGACCTGGTCAAGGGGTTGGATCTTAGGTTTTTCAGTCTAATCGGTTGGATCGGTTTGTTCGACAGTTGATGTAAACATATTCAGCAAGTTTAAAACCAAGCAAACACACTCCTGCGATTTGGATAGGAAACCGTGAAGCAGATAAGTGACAGCGTCGACAAACGACGGCCAATTGGAGTTCGGGATGATACAGGGTTTTGATGTGGAGATGAAGGTGATGCTGATGGTGGTGGAAGGTGATCATGGTGATGGTGTCAAGTGGGATGGTTGGCGTTGAAAGCTATCGGAATTGGGGACAAAGCTGTTGGAATCAAGGTTTTGGTGACCCAGTTTAGCCATCAGGTCGGCAATTCATTACCATTCTACCAGTCCAAATTCGGACCAATCTGGGCTAGTGGCTATTCTCGGGTTTGGGGGCTTACTTGGACCGAAGTCGATGCCAGTTCTCAGATTGGGCTGGTTCAGTCTGGGTTTTAAAACACTGCTTATGTTTGTTTATCAAATATAAGTAAAAACAAATATTTGGTTTTTATCTAAATATGAAAATATCTTAATGAATAAAAAAACTATTTGGTCAAAAATACCTTTGTCAACTTTATATGATTCCAATTTTCACAAAACTCTTATGTATTATGTAGTTTGAGTATTATTTAAATATTTTTGTTATAGTAATGTTTAAAATTACATCAAACAATATAATAACATAATTATCTTCAATTTATATACATTTGTTTTTGTTTTAATTTCCATATATTCAATAATTTAAATTTGTTTAAGACATAAAATATAAAATTAATGTTAGAGTAGATGCCATAGAGCCAATCAATTATTATAGAATTGACTCATTGTAATAATATTCATTAATCAATAAAAGACAATTTATTTTATATCGCGTAAATCATTATTATTGCAATATGTATTGATATATGTTCTTAGAATGGTAGAACCGTGACGAGAGTATCAAGTGTTTCAAATTTTGATAGTGAGAACCCTATGAGCACATATGGTGGCCATTCTAGAAACGTCCGTAGCCCCAGTATTATTCTGAAGTAAGGGCACAGATAATACAATAACACTATCATAGTGTTGAACGACCATGTCGAAAGGCAGTGACTGATCTCACTTGTCAAGGTTGTTTGGTGACAACCTGGTTCAACACATGGGTGTTTGCTTTAGGCGAATACACCGCAGCAAGTTCACTAGACTGACCCACCAGAGGATTCCATATAGATGGTAACCCCAGTGTCTATGGAAAAAATCCTCTAACGAATGGTGGTGCATGTGATCCTTAGACTTGAGATCACCGGAGCGCTTTGTGCACCGATTAGTGTAGTTTGACACTAGCCTAATGTTGTTCTATTTAGAGCTGTCAATACGGTGGTGATTGGCTGCATCAAGGAGTGTATCAAAACTATGGTGGATAGACAGATGATTTATCACTCCCGGGTACGAGAGAAGTTATCTCACGGCGCAATTCAGTAGATGACAATGCATTAAAACTGTGGCCACAGTGGGATTGAGTTGTTGCTCTATCCAGTTTATAATACAAGTCATTGGTCCATAAACTGAATACATAATATCGAGAGTAACCGAGGGTTGACACTATTTCTATGCCTTCGTCTCGTCGAGATAACGTATGATGAAATGATCGAATTGTACGGTAACCATATCGTTGACAGGTAGCTACTTTGTTGAATCCGAATCTATCGGGTGGCCATGATTCCTTGCTAGGGGTCAATCCTGGTCTATGTATTAGTGAGACGATTAATAGGTGTTAATCGCGATACTATACACTACCGGTATGATGAGGAGCCTATGGGTCGTACACATAGAAGATAATTTAAGACTTAGAAAGAAAGAAGGGCGTTTTTGTCTTTTTGGGCGAAAGGGTATTTTGGTAATTTCATAGTGCAATTAAATTTGCTGAGGTCGTAGTCTTTATTTAATTTTTTAGAAAAATTAAATAAGTGAAATTACGTTTAAATATGTGTTAGCATATATTTAATAAATTGTCATTATTGTTAAATGTTAATATATATATTAATGGATTTTAATTGAGATAATAATGAATTAAAATAAATATCTAATTGGGAGTGTTTGGAAACATGGGGTGTTTGGATTAGATCCTAAACTTATTCCATATGGGAATAGGGTAATTAAAATGTTACTATAAAATAAATGTTTTAATTTTAAAGGAGTGTGAATTTCATTCAACTCATATTCATTGAAAAGAGAAAAGCTACAGCCCCTAAATACTCTCACGCCAGATTTGGGCTTTTGCCTAAAATCAATTACTCTTCATTTCTTCTTTGTTCTTAAGGTTAAGAGAGATCTAGCAAATCCCTTCTTAATTCCTTGCGATTATCTTCATGTAGATTACGTCAGTTCGATCTTACACTTGGGTCGGTAGTAAAAT